CTTTTTGAGTGACTGCTTTTTAAGCATTGAAATCTACAATTTCCAATGTTTTCAATAACTTCTTTCAATTCGTGCCTAGCATGTATCCTAGACAGATAAATCGATATAAAAGAGTAATATTGATCGAATAAAGTTTGAATAATTTATTCATGTTTGTATTCACAAATATGACACGAACTAATTCACTAAGTTGCCAAAACATTGAATTTTGGAAAGATGTATAACAACAAAAAAAATCACTTCTTTTCTCCTACTCTTAGTGAAGAACAATTTCTTTTTCTATAAATAGTCCCTCAGAAATTCCCTCCAGCTTTCGGCTCACTGTAAAGCTTTAGAAATTGAGAGAGATTCTGGGTTAGAGGGTTTGCAAAAAGTCAGAAGACTGACTGCAAAACTATTTCATACAGAATACTTGAAACGTCATCTCAAACAGTTTGAGATCAGAATTTCGTCACGTAAGTTTCCTTTTAATCTTCTATTTTCTTTCTTCAATATCTTAGAAGAAATTGAATGACGCGTAATTAAATTTGAAATGTGATTTATATCAGAAGAGATGTACAAGGATAAAGTGTCCCACAGATGAATATCGTGCCTCTATCTCAGATGCTTAGACGGCAAAGGATTCTACTTATTGCGATGTTTAGAAAACCCCAAAAAATAAACCCACTCTGTGCAGCTGCTATGCCAGTTGTCCATAAAGCAAGGAATAGAGTATGCAGTAGTTCCATGATATCGGTATATTTCTAGAATTCGCTTAAATGATATCTTTGAAGTTTCCGATCAGTTTTTTACATCGCAAATTTTTAGTAATTTTCTGGATGATAAAATTTTTTGAACAGCATTGCTGCTCAGAAAAACTGAAGTAAAACTTCTTTTTTGAGGCATTTTGGATGAAATAACTTTAATGAACGTGGCTACGATGAACAAATAACAGTGCTGTAAAACTTCTGCAACAGGAGGAATTTCACAAAACAAACACCAGATACATAAATAGTTTTCACTGACAGTAACAACACACTTTTCCTCGAAGCAACAGCTTAAGAATAGAAGTAGAAACGTATTAGAATTAGAAGCATCACGAAAGGGGAACTTCTGCGCTTTGCTGCTCGTTGAATTCTGTTTGTGTTTCTTGTTGTTCTTTGTTTGTAGTGGAGGAGCGAACGTGCTACAATAGGCGCTATTCGAGACTCGCCGCGATGAATTTGACACCACAGGCAGAGTGCTCTAAGATTTAAAGATGCGAAAATGTTCTTTGAAGAAAACTATATGAGGCTTCCAGACTCAAATAATATCAAACGGAGGGTTTAATTTTTCAAAAGCGCTTTTCTTTGAAAATAGCACCCTTTTATATTTTAAAGAACCTAAAATTTTCAAAATTAACGCAGCAAGATCAATCTATCCTTCAATTGTAGATATTCTATTTTTTTGCTTGAAGCTTCAAACAAAACCTTGAATTACTACTTTGTAAACAAAATTGTGTGATTCAGACTCTTATGA